AGGAGAAAGCAGTGCCAAAGACAAATAGGAGTCAACTTATTACTAAGTTATTGAACAGTCGGATTTACAGGTGCAATCCTTTCTACCCACAGCTATCTCCACTGCAGTGATTTGGGGGTAGGTGCATCATTCATGGTGGAAGCCACTTCCCAACTTCAGATCTTCAGGTTTTCCAATCAAGGGTCAGCCTTGGTTTCCTTCTGATGGTCACAAATGCGATTTTTTTTCTTTCGAGTGCAGCTAAAGAAAGTCACCCACCCACCCCCCTTCTGATTGAAGTCGGAGTGTGAGCAGGAGTGGCCCAAGCAGGTCACCCAGCCGGGGACATCCCCCTGTGCACAGCTGCCACCCCAGGCACAAGCACGTCAGCTGTAAACCTCCGACAAAGCACACGCAGAATTGTGGTGGGCTTACATAATGTGTCAAAACTTTGCTTTGTGCTCCCATCAAATATGCCTTTTTTTGGCTTCGTTTTTTTCCTTGTGAATCCTTCGTACACATGAACAGGCTGCAGAGCATTACTCACAAGAGCTTAATTAACCTCTAAAGAAAAGGAAATCATAGAAGCTGTAGGGTAAAAAAAAGATCATATTTAGACAAATAAGTGCAAATGACCTAGATGCATCAATTTCCTTAAGAGCCGTGCAGTGCAATCCAGCTGCTGGCTGCAGAGGCTGCAGTCTGGGTCACTGCTCCTTGTCACTGCTCCTCGTGCTGCCTGTCCCAGGCTGTGCCCTGGGGCTCCTCCCGGACCACCCCTCAAGTCCAGACTAATCCTACCTGCCCTCATCCCGCTTTCTCCTACATCTGTCACCTTTCTCTTAGACATCATCAAAATGCAGAGCTGGGAGGGACCCCAGGAGATTAGCTGTTCCCTTCGCGGGATTAAGCATACTGAGATCATCTCTGATGGGTGTTTGGCTTACCTCATTTTTGAAAATCTCCAAGGAGTGCTGTCCCAGGGCTTCCCTATTTTGTCTGTTCTGGTGTTTAACTACTTTTATAGCTAGGAAGATTTTTTTTTTTTCCAAGTATCTATTCTCCCTTGTGGTAACTAAAGCCAAACCACAATCAAAATGGAGAATAATTGATCACCAGCCGCCTTAGAAGAGAAGCAGCTTTCACATACCGGAATACCAAGAGCACATGCCCTTTTATTTACATACTTTCAAGATTAAACAACTTCATTTCTTTGGCCTTTCCCCTTTGATCAGGTTTTGAGTCTCTTTTTGGTCTTTTCATATTTTCTTGTACTTATTTAACTACAAAAATGACTTTGGATGAAATTCAAATCTGGACAGTGCAAACCAGCTCATCGGCATCCTGGGGTAACTACGGACAGGACAGTATATAATACTGTACTCATAGAGCCAGCATAGAAACAAAGGTAAATTCGATAGCTTAAGAATTTCTTCCTAGTTCTCTCGTACGTTATCCCTGGGATAATCGGGAGCAGTGGCAGCCTGTCCCAGCTGCCATCCCTGCCCTCCCCTAAGCCTGGGCTCCTTTGGACAGCGCGGCTGCGCACAAATCTCCATTTGGTGGATGTGTATTTGCTTTGTCCTTCTGACACGCAGTACTTACACCAATCTGTTTAAACAATCCGGTTTCACCCTCAGCCGTGTGTCTGCTTTCCTTTCTCTTGTGTGTGCTTGTTCGGTTTAGCTTAGTGCTCAAAGGAAGGAAGGAGAGTCCTGCGCTTGACAGCAAATGCTGTGCAGAGCAGCGGGGCTCGTTTCTCAGCCCTGCTCCAGGCTCTCTGCCTGCACCTTGCAGAAATCACACGAAGCAGCACTGCTTTCCTTGCCTGCCTGCTCCCTGAATTTTTATGCTCTTGTCCACATGCATAAAAAGCTCCTTAAAACAGGGGTTTGACCTTGTTAGCTGTACGTCTGTCATGTAGCCCAGATGAATTCTTGACTTTTGTTAAGATCGATTACAGTGTGAGCCAAGTGCATTGGATGCTTCACTAAGGGGTTAAGTCATATCTGTTTTTCTTTAAGAGCTGTAGGGACATATGTCATAAAATATTCACAGCTCAAATAATGATTATACTTCCCATACTGTGGGTGTTAATATTTAGTCAATTAGGAAATAATATCCATGTATTGAGTGCTGGCAAGAAGAGGGGAGGAAAGGAGAAGCGGCAGCAGGAAAAGTCTCACCCATTAAAATAACATCAACCAGTTACGGTCGTTAGTCTGCTCTGTGGACTGACCTTTCTTGAAACCAGGTGCGTACAAAGCGTCTTCCATGTGCAGCCACGTGCTGTTCATGGAGATGCCGATGTGCTCCACCACTCTGAAAAACGAGGGGTGTCTCTAGGACATGGGGTGTCGATGCTGGAGTTTATGGTCCTGGGGAGGTGTGAGGGAAACGCACCGTCGGCACTGGGCAGTGACACACGCCGGGGTAGGGTCAGACGTGGACTTGCTCTGAGCCTTTTAATTCTCCTCTATCTCTTTGAATGGTTTCATCCTCCTCCATGCCAGCACCTTTCCCTCCCCAGCTCCAGGGGTGTTTCTCCTCCAGAAGGTTCCTGCCAAGCTGGAGGCTGAGAGCTCTGGGGAGGGTGATGGGAGAAAAGATGATTCACTTCTTCTGCATCCGTTATTGAAGTTTCTTCACGAAATGAAAATAAAAGTGGCAGTGGGAGCTTTGCGCTCATTGTTTTTCCCTCGTTCACCCAAGTGCTTGCTTAACGCTCGAGGACAAAGAGGCAGAGCTGCTGCTTGGCGCGTTTGCTGCCTCTCGATAGCTGAGCTTGTTCTCTCCCGCTATTGCGTTCCCTCTGACAGTCATGTTCTGCGGGGCCAGTTTATTTCCAAAAGCACTTGTGTGATTCCATTATCTCCTCGTTGCTCCTTCAGTAACACCTAGGCAACACCGTTATCTTCCATCCGATACTCAGCAACGCCTGCAAAACCCGGGAGCCTCCGAAATGCCCTGCAGGAGCCTCGCGGGAGGCAGCGGGTGCTCCTGCGGCGGCCTTGGAGGGGAAGCGTATGGAGTGGTTCAGGCAGACATGCCCAAAGCCCCTGTGTTGTCCTCTGGAAGAATAATGACGACACAAAGCTCTTAAACATTCACTTAGCATTAGCTATTAGAAATAGCTGATAATGTTTTTTAAATGAGAACTGGAGAGGTAAGAGAGGAAGAAATGTATTTCAAAGCGAGTGCACGGAGCCTTGTGTTTTCAGAGCCAGGTGAGGAGGATGATGGTGATTATTTTTTCTTGTTGTACCTTTTATGAACAAATCTCTGCATAATCATGAATGTTGCATAGGAAAGTACGTTTGGTCCCGCTTCACCCCCCTCCCGCACAGGGACAGTCTGGTCAGTGGTGTGTTTCAGAAGTTTTCCGCGGCAGCGGGAGGTTGCTGGTGTGGCTGATGTAAGGAGCACGGCTTTTTTTCCTGTGAGATTTGTTACTGAGTTTTTTTGAGAATGTGGTGAAGATAAATGCTGCTTCTAAGAACTAGTCCAAGACTCAGGTTTAACCACAGCACACAGTATTGATTTAATTGAACAAGTTTAGCGTGGGCTTGCAGCCTTTTCTCAGCACTTCACCGGGCGCAGTGGGAGAGGAAAGAAGCAATTTTCCAAATTAGAACAAAACAGGAAAATTTTTCTATTGTATATTCAGCCTGAAATATCCTTTTCTTATGTTTTGAACAGCATCACTACTCAAAGCCTACGTACTAGAGGAAGGTATTGGTACAAGACATGAGTTAATGGATTTTTTTTTCCCCCCTAGAGCATTCCAGGGAAGGAGCCAAGTTTTAAAGACTGTGAGCTTCTGGACAGTGCCCTGTCTCATGATAATTGTACTGTCTGGCAGATCCATGAGCAAGTTTGCTAAAAAAATTATGATGTACAATTTATTTTCCAAGATTAATGATTTGTTTAAAATAATACCTACTGCTTATCTTTAAAAAACCTTGCTGATAAATCTTATTTGAGTAAATAAATGCTGTACATTGATTTTATTTTTCCTCTTATATGAATCCTTTGACATAGCGTTTATCTTTAGGACACTCTCAAAAATCAAAAAGTATTTAAGTTAATTTAATACACCTAAATACTGGCTTTTGAGAGTGGGTAGAGGAAGGAAATCTTGATTGTGTGTTGCTAAATTTGGCTTTTTTAATATGTATGCCTTGAATCACCTTATGTGGTCATGACTATGTATGTAATTAACGCTCTGTTTTCTGATGATCTTCTTTTGTTACCTGTTCCTATAAAGATACAGAGGTGTGGGGCCAGAGCTCCTCTTACACCGGTGTAAATCAGGAGTAGTTCTAGTAGAGGCAGCACAAGATTTGATGGGCAAAGCCAAACTAAGTATGAAGAGGGTAAGGAGGAAAAAAGGAAAATTATCTCGTTTTTACTACCGTTCATCAGTATCCACAATTTCACATCTCTGATTGAGCAGGTGAGACAACACATCTGAAATCACTTTGTTCTTTGAACTGAGGATCAGGGTGGTTTTCTCGCCAATGAGTTGTGTACGGATGGGAAATGGGTTCCAAGGAGACGGGGCAGAGACCCATCTCCCCTGACTCTGAGAATGTGTTTGGGAAGCAGAGATCTGCACTGCCACACATGCCCAAGCTGATTTCTCCGGATTTTTGTTTGTACACAGCCTCGTTTGCAGCACGGGAATCCCATCAGGCCAGTGGCCTCTATTTTCCAGTTTCTTGTCCTATGGAACAGAACTTCCCATCATGGAGAATGATGGAAGTACGTTACCTACTCCAAGGCATTTCTTCATGCCTGCAAGCCAAATTTTGCAGTGTGGTGATTTGTATTTTTTTCTTTTATGCCTATGATCTACCCAATTTCTTTAGCCAGCAACAGATGTAGTCACAGCAGATGAAGCCTGGAGAATCTGCCCAGGTTGCACCAGGACTTTCCTTCAGCCCTCCCGTCAATCCCCTGCTGAGTTCCAGCTCTGTAAGTATCTTACGACCAACCCATCTCTCCATTTCTCTCTGCAGGATCTGATACGGAGGGATATTCTGTATTACAAAGGTCGCATAGACATGGATAAATACGAAGTGGTAGATATAGACGACGGGCGAGATGATGACTTCAATGTCAGCATGAAGAACGCCTTCAAACTTCATAACAAGGAGACTGAGGAAATGCACTTGTTCTTTGCCAAGAAACTGGAGGAGAAGTTACGATGGCTTAGAGCTTTCCGAGAAGAAAGGAAGATGGTAAAAGAAGATGAAAAGATAGGTGAGGAATATGAAATGAATCTGAAAGGAGATTGTTGGTAAAGCTCAATTTAGCCCCAACTGGTGGAGGAGCCCCCATTTTTTTTGTAGTAGAACTACAGTTCAGCCTTGTTCAAATGTCCTTGGTTGCTCTCCTAGCCATAAATAGGTCTCTTTCCAGTTCAGTTACTGGTATTTTTGGCCCTCGATGAACAAATCCTGCCCATAGCTTCAAGCCTGGATCTCCATGGATATTGTGGGAGAGGGAAATCTTGGGCCATCTGACTTCAGAGTCTCCTGGCTGCATCATTTCTGCCATGGTTAAGCATGGCTCGTGCAGGGTAGGAGGGCGGCAAAGTCAGCGACTTACAGCCGTGCCCTTCCCACAGCATCAGCCCAGAGATGGACTGTGGCCAGCGTCCGTTCGGGCTCAGCTGTAGAGCACTGGGCATATTTACGATACTGTATAAATAATAATGGCTCTAATCTTACTTTTCATACAGCCCCTGCACAAGTGAGATTAGAAAGAGGCCTGCCCTTCCAAGGAAGATTTCCTTTTCAGTAAAATACCTGCCCCTACGCGCCGCTCACGGGGTGACGCTTTGCACCCAGGGCGTTCTGTGTGTGCCAAAGAGTGCAGAACATGCCCCCCTCCCCAAAAGAAAAACGAGGCTTTGTAAGCAATCTTCTGAATTGTGTTTGCCGTGTTCCCTTTTTCAGGCTTTGAAATTTCTGAAAATCAAAAGCGGCAAGCGGCAATGACAGTAAAGAAAGTCAGTAAGCAAAAAGGTAACCGGCAACACGCACTGTGCCTGGTGATGTGAGGGTGGAGCGGGCTGGGCTGAGTCCTGCTGGGTTAGGATCCAGCGTCCCCCTTGAATTTCCCCCTCCCCTTTCTCTTTTTTATATAAAATACCGTTTGTGCTTTGTATCCTTTCTTAATGTATCTGTGGGCCAAATTAATCTCTGGTCCAGTGTGGCTGAAGCCAGTGGAATTTCACCAGAGATGAATTTGATCTCGTGTCTCCAGTCTGATGTCCAGAAGCTGTCCCTGGGGGCGGACATCTATCTATCTATCTATCTCTCTATCTCAGTTGTTATCTCAGGCTGAAATGGGAGTGAGTGCGGAGATGTGGAGGGGTTCTGCTAATTCCCAAAGTCTCCCGTTAGCAAAGAAAGAACGATGGCTAAATACTGGAGACGGTGAGGGCTCTGCCCCTTTCCTGCTTCTGGAAAGGGGACACTCATGGTTCCTGGGGCTGCCTGTAACTTTTGAAGGACAGCACACTAGCGTCAGCTCTAGGAAATAAAGTATGGTAGTAAAGACATTCTGTCTCTCGAATGTTAGATTCATTTCCCCACCTAGGCAGGCTACAGCCCACTAATAAATGCCATGCTAGATATTAACCAGAATCTCAGCTGGTGAAACAGCCAGCATTCATTAATTATCCCTTGCAATAACTCGTGCAGCTACAGGTTTGGATATAGTAAATACGGAGGGAAAGGCAGAGAGGTCATTTATTGAGTTCTCCAAAGCTTCACAGAGTCATAGACGTATCCATTCGTTACCAAAGTGCCGTGGCACAACTAGACCTGTAACTGGGTTTTGAGGGAACTCATCCCTTCTCGGCTACAGTCAGTTCCAGGCAGATCCGTCCCTGCTCTGCACAGGCATTGGGGTGGTTTTTGTACAAGCTGAAGGAGCTCTTTGCTTTCTGCCTCACCTGTTCGTTGTCTGCTGGCTTTGCTGGTCCAGTAGTGGTTTGCCAGGCCAGCTGTGAACTCCTTGGTTTGCTGTGTCTCTCCATTGTCATTAGTCTTCTCCTCTCTCCTGACTTCCTCTGTTGTCTCTGAGATGTTCTCTACTCTCCTGGCCAGATGTTCTAAGCACGAGGTACGCACGCACGCAGGGACGGGCCAGGGAGCGCCCGCCGTGCCCAATGCACACGCGGTGCTGGCAGGAGCTCGCTGCTGCAGGTTTGCCCCTCGCCGCTGGAGGTGATGGCAAGGGGAAAATCAGAGAAACAGACTTGCATGATGGCCGCGACAAAAAAAAATTTATTTGCAGGTTAATTAATTATATTATTAATTAATTAATAATTGTACTGTTCAGTCATTAAGTGACACAGTTCAAAGGTGCCTGAGCATGCCCACCAGTATTCCCACTTAGATCACTGGACTTGCACCCTGACCAGTATAAAATGCCTGATGGCACTGAATCCTTACACCGCAATTGCTCTCTTTGTTTTCTCTCTTTCTCTCTCTTTCTCTCTGAGATGAAAAAGGAGGGGCTATTAGCTTAGACTTCTCTGACTATAAGATTAATTAGCCCCTAAAACACCAGTCAGCGTTTATTTGATGAAGAACGAGCTTTACGCTAGGACACTTTTTTTAGTTCTTTTTATGAGATTACATCCTGGAGTCAGACAGAAACTGAGCCAGACCCGGGGCATCGAGTGAAGTGAAGCCAGGTTGTTTTGCTTAAAACATGAAATCTGAAAAACAACAAATAGGGTCGTTAAGTTAGTAGCTCTGTTTCTTTTGTCCTACATTGTGGTAATTGTAGCCCAGTCTCAGATTAGTTAAATTAAGTACCGACATTGAATGTTTTGCTGAAAACTCTTAGTTTTCTTACTCTGTGGATTGTCTGGTGCCCACGACCCAGAGAGAGGCAGGAGGCTGCCGGAGCAGGGGGCTGGGGGCATTGCTCAGAGGAGGGTGGTAGGAAGCAGTTCCTGAGAGTTGGTTTGTAGTGACTTACTTTGAATCCTGCCAGATGCATTTTATATATATTGCCAACATTTTTTTTTTTTTTCCGACAAAGATCTTGGCAGGCACTTGGGGCTGTGTTGCTGAGGCTGAGGTGCAGGTCTTGGGGCTGGGAGCAGGCGGACAGACAGGTGTGCTTAAGCCAGCAAATCCTTTGTCCTGCCCCTGCAGCCTCCCGTAGCGTGCCAGTAGCCCTGGAAGGGGCTGAGAGTTGGTTTTGGAGCATCAGTTATAGCTGGAAAGCAGTGAAGCCCTTTAGGAGTAGGAGTACTTCCACTGCAGTCAGATGAACTATTTATTCGTGTCACTTCACGGGTTTGCAGGACAGGTCTCAGTGGCTGCAGCAGGGCTTGGGGGCTCCCCAGCCCAACCTGACACACCGAGAGCCCTGCTCCCGTGTCAGCGGGTGCCTGTTACAGCCTTGCTTCCAGATTATCTCCGTCGTTCCCTCCGCCTCGTAAATGGGAAAGCATGGTAATTTCCCCGTCATGGAACACTTAAGGAAGAGAGAAAAGCCGTGAAGGAGGTGAAACGGAAAATGCAATCAACTTTGTTAGAGGTGAAGCAGAAAAACATTTTTCAAATAGTCTATAAACGGCCGCTTGCTTCATGCCGTGTTGTACCACACCTCCCAGCAGTGTTGCGCTGGCGCTGGCTGGTGTGCCTTTGGAAAGGGAGCGTTTGAACCACCGCTCGCGGCAGCGTGAGAGGGAGAGACGCTGAGAGAACAGCTGATAGCAGGAGAATGAACCGTTAAACTGCTTTGTGAGCTAATGGAAACGTTATCCGGGTGATGGGACGAGGGGGAACGGTTTGAAGCTGAAAGAGGGGAGATTGAGATGAGATATTGGGAAGAAATGTTTCCTGTGCAGGGGGTGAGGCAGTGGCCCAGGTTGCCCAGAGAAGCTGTGGATGCCCCATCCCTGGAGGGGCTCAAGGCCAGGCTGGATGAGGCTTTGGGCAACCTGGGCTAGTGGGAGGTGTCCCTGCCCATGGCAGGGGGTGGCACTGGGTGGGTTTTAAGGTCCCTTCCAGCCCAAACCATCCTGTGATTCTATGAAGAGCGAACACATCTCTCAGTGCTTTGAGAAGTTTTTGATCCCAAAAGGAGGACCCCTGGTGGGGCACACGTCACCCCCCTCCTAACGCTCCCATCTGCACAGCAATGCACGCACGCGTCCAGCGCCAGCCTGCCTTCCAAATCCATTTAACGATGCGCAGGGTCAGATTTCAGCAGTATGGTAGGATTTGCACTGCTTATTGGATTGGGCAAAACGTAATGATGTTAGACCAGGTGCCTTAAGACAGCATTAAACCAATTTTTGGCCTTCTTTAAGTCCATTAGATGTAAAGTAAATGGGTAGTGTTGGCTCTGCACCTTACCAACAGATAGAGAAAAGGACTGTTTGGTGGTTTTTTTCTTTTTGCATTGATTTTTCAAGATTTTGCCTCTCGGTTTCTGCCCGTTAGCCTCTTTCAATGTCAGTGTGGTAACTGGGAATAGAATTCAGTGTGGTGTCTCCTAGAAATAGCAAAGTAACAGAGAAATTCATTTGTCTTGACTTACAAAAACAACAAAAAAGCCCACAACCCTTTTAAAGCTGCAGCCAGTCAGGTGTGCAGCTTTTCTGCCGAGGGGTCCAGGTGCCGCTGGGGACTGTGCTGCACTGGCACTGCATCGTTAAGGTCGTATCGAGTTGTACTTCCAAAATTGTGCTGTTGTTGACTAAAGCAGTGGAAACAAGTCTAAAGTTCCCTTGAAAATGGAGCCCTTGTGGATCTCCCGTCCATCCTTAACATAGACACAGGACTATCCAGGGCACTTCTCCATTTCTGAGTGTTTGAAACCTGAAGGCTCCTTCGGTGCCTCTACCCATCAAGGGCTTCTGTTCCGCTGGCCACTTCTGGTCTCCCCTCCAGACTCTTTGCAGCTTTCAGAAACATTCAGTTACTTTTCTGACCCCCAGCTTTGTCCACATCTGTCCCCACGCCGGACAGTTCGTACACGGGAGGGATTTTTGCTCATGTTCTGGAAGCTGTCAGCCTGGGATGTCAGGGGGATTGGGGGCTCCAGGGGCCGGGAAGGAGACCCATTCTTCAAGCACCGATTCCCACTAATGTTTCCATTTTGGAAAATGAAATGTCTGTTTATATTTAAAGAAGTGAGGTTAGTGCTAGGTGGGAGGGTTTCCCAGCCCAGGAGAGCTCTTCAGACCCGCGCTGTGAGCTAGCTCCTTCGCGCCCTTCTCTCTGTCCTGTGGATTCTCCTCTGCCCTGTGCCACAGCCTCACCAGAGCAGATGCCCTCAGCCCAGCCAAGTCTTTAGACTGGTGGTCTGGGACTTGCAGAAGGAGGGAAACATAGATCCAGTCACCATCACCCCCAGCCCTGAGCTTAGGAAGGATGCTGTCATTAAATCTGCCCATAAATACTCAGCTGTGCAAACCCAGCAGGGGCTAAACCGTCAGCCAGCGTGAACTGCTCTGGCCTGCAGTAAAACTCCCTCTGAGTCACTGAATTTTCCTGCTAATTTCTTCCTTTCTGATCACTTGAGCTCACGGCAAACTATGTCATACAAACCCTGACCCAAACACCCAACAGCTTTTCTTTGACTTCTCCACCTTCTGCACTTCAAGCTCTCCCCCGGCAAGGCAGAGTGAGATGCCGGCACATTGGTGTCCTTGTGCTGGCTTCATCCAGCTGCGAGGACAGGTCTGTAGGTACCTCCTGTGGTTTTCTGGAGTGTTTAAACCTATTTGGTGGCATCTTCATTGCCAACAAGATTGATGTGGCCCTGGCATGTTTCCCCATCCCATTCCCACACGTAGGCGTAGCCTCAGGGGGATTCAAAGGAGCCGAGCAGCACAGAGACTAACGGCTTTAAATCAAAGAGAGACATTTGTGGTTTTAGATAATCAGGGTCACCTCCATTTTTTCATAGAGTGCAGGTGAAAGAGTGGAGCTATTCATGTTCTTGGTGGCAATTCCCCACAGATTAAAAGAAATCCCAGAGTTTAGCC